GCTCGTGGGTTTCGTGTGGCTGGTGGCAGGTAGGGTGTGTCAGAGGTCATCATGAGAGGAGCTACCTTCCTTGATTGGCTCTCGGAGACCTGAGACAAAAGCGGAGGATAGCATTTGGGTGTGTGCTTTGTTTTGCATGCTAAGTCCTAAGTCAGTAAACACTTGTGAAATTCTGGGGTGCCCTGAACCCTGTAATGTGCCCCAGATAGGTCTATTACAGGAAACAGAGGGATGGGCACTGGGGTTGATGACTCGGGTCCTCCGGTATATGACTTGAGTGCCTTAAAATGGCTGCCACCGGAAGGTGTCATTGAGATTCCGGGTTGAGTGAGTGCAGCAAGATGGCTGCCGGCTGGGCAGTGGAGCACTCGGAGTGGGATGGAGCTCGGTGGGAGGGTCAGATAATGAGGAAGTTGCTGGAGGAGACGAAGGGGAAGTAACTGAGGGCCAGGCGCCATAACAGGGCGGTGGCCCATCATCTGATTCAGGTCTTGGTCTGGTTTCTGGTTTGTGATGTACATATAAAATGTACCCATCTTGATTTGTTTCATGTAATACCCACCCCTCCCCATGAATAGCTCTTGCCACATTGTACCAGGCTTCTGCTGTGGCTAACAATCCGTGGTCAGACAAGAGCCCTTTCTTTCTTTTTAACAGAAGACGCCATTCTTCTGGCTGCAGTCTGCCACCCAGGTGCATGGTGATGCCACATATCTTTGCTGCCTCTATCCCTGCTTGATCTGATACCAAATTGCACGCTAAGCTACCCTCTTTTGGTTTACCTAACTTCTGTCCCATTGTTAGCTATTGGAGAATTTGTGTCCGGTTCAGGAATTTATGTGACCAGTCTTATGAAGCTGTCTTGGACTCGAGTGTCCGACAATCCTCTAACCGTCACCTGACCTCTCTTTGGACCACTCTCCAATATATAACGTCTGGAGAGAAAGTGAAAGAAAGAGAGGTAGAGAGAGAGTGAGAGAGAGAGAAAGATATATCAGATGAAAAATCTTTGCAGCTGCAGACTTCACTGACCGTTCCTCTTTTTACGTATAAATCCTGCCGAAGCAAGGGGGGGGGCCCCCTCCTCTCCCTTGCTTCGTCTTCTATATACCCTGGATTGAATACATTAATCACAGTCATAACATTACACCACTGACATATGGCAAGAAGGCGAAAGGCGAGACCCAGGACCCCTGTCGCAGACCCGCGCCTAGCGCGACCACTGACGCCCCCCTCCTGTATTCCCGTGCTTTTCTGCACACTTATTTATTCACCCAGGAGGAGTTTGACCACGTCAGCAAATTATACCATCTGTGACAGCCTTTACTACTGGTATCTCACGCCCCCCCCCTCACAGGTCAATACACATAACCATACAACATACACAGGTGGCAGATACAGATTACACAGGTTCTTTATCAATGGACATCGGGCAAGTTACCTGTCTTTGCTGACCTCGGGAGCCGATATGAAGACAGAGACAGGCCACATACACGGAGACAGGATATACTGGCAAGAAATATGTCTTACCGTATTTCAGAGGTGATCAGTCTCTGCCTCGTGCGTGTGTTGGCTCGTCTCAGTCTCCTCTCGATCGGCTGTCCTTCGGTACAGAACCCGAGGTCCCATCTGAGGTGCCAACTGTTTTGGACCTGATCACAAATTTGGATCGGATTAAAGGTTCTGTACTTAGATCTGCCGCCTGGCCTGATTTATATATAGAGTGTACACTCAGAGAAGAAACCACGCTAAGACACCGTTAGTTCAGAGTAAGATACTTCTGTTTTTATTCTTCTGCTTAACAGTCTTATATAGGCAGCTGCACGTGTATGTTTTGTATGTTTTGTATGTTTAATCGTAGCATTGCAAAAAGCATTCTAGCTTATAATTGGTTAGATCCATTCATGCATAACTTCCTTCCAGGATGTTTATGACTTTCGTCTTGGGTGTTGTCCTGAAGAGGAGGTGCCATCTTGGTTCCTATTTCTATTGCGTACTTCGGATAGGAGGGGGAGGGGGTGCTTAAGCACCAATTTCTGAGTAAGGTTTTGCGTAAGGTAAACGAGAGCAAATGGCAAAATAACATATATATTACAATTGATCTATTGAGATAGGCATTTTGTCATAATCATACAAAACCACATCCATTACACAGGTCCGTAAGTGAACAGGGGATACGTATTCCCAAGTATGTTAGAGAGTGATTCCTGATTTGCAATTTATATGTGGGAGCCCAGGACACAGAGTCAGCAGCAGCTGCCTTCGAAAAGAACAGTAGTTCACTCTTATCAATTTATTTTAAGGCCAGAGAATGTGCCAAAGAGTTGGATGTGGTGGATCAGTTTTAGAAGCTGTTGTTTTGGTTCTGAAAGAATAAGTAAAATGTTATCAGCAAAAAGCATAGACTTGATGTCGGTGGCTCCCACACTTAGGCCCGTATACAGTTGGGGGGAAGAAAAAGATAGGGAGAGTGGTTCAATGGCCAAATTAAATAACAGAGGGGAGAGAGGGCAACCCTTGCAAGTACCTTTTATAGAGGGAGAAAGGGGGTGAAAGATGCGCAGAAGTGTAAATGTGTGCCCTGGGGGATGAGTAAATGGTGGCTATAAATCATAGAAACTGCCCCGAAATTCCCATACGATTGAGAACCGCGAGTAGCCACTGCCAGCTCACGCTGTCAAATGCCTTCTCCGCATTCAATGCCAGCGGTGCCATTGAAGACGGAGAAGACTGGGGATTATGGAGGCGTAAGTGTTCTAGGGCAAACCTTGTTTTTCGAATATTTAATGTAGCAGAGCGACCCGACACAAAACCAGCCTGGTTGGTTGGGAGAAACAAGTTTAGGCAATATTCAAGACAACCTGTTAGCCATGATTTTAGATAAACATTTAGCATCCTGGTTCAGTAGAGAAATCGGATGGTAAGATCCTGGCAGTAATGGATTTTTATCCTGCTTGGGAAGCAAACAAATATAAGCATCATGAAAAGTTGGGGGATATTGATTACTGTGTGATATATGGTTGAATAATGCAAGGAGGTGCAGAGAAACCTCTTCCAAAAGTAGTTTAAAAACTCAGAAGATAAGCTGTCAGGCCCTGGCGACTTAGATAAGGGGGCTTGTTGAATTATGTCTTGGAGTTCTGGTAGGGTGACATCAGAATTGAGCATCATTAGGTCATCCTCTGATGAGGGGAGGGCAGAGATAAGGAGCTCAGGAAAGATTCAGCACCAGAGGAATTACCCTGGTCAGCACTATATAGATTCTGGTAATAGGCGCTTAAAAGCTCTGAGATCTTTGAGGGATCAGAATGAATCTTGCCCTCCGTATCAGCGAGACAAAATAATCCTCACATTACCCGATGGGTCACCCGTGGCCCCCATCTGGATCATCAGGCATACCCCAGCAGTGGGTGGACCGAATGTCCGTGACTGTAGTAGCCATGGAGGGGCAAAGAAGAGTGAACGATGTGGAAGACCTCACTAGACTCTGTGGCAAGCCCGTTCTTGGGAGTCCTCAAAGTAGTTGGGGCACATTTCGGATCTTCGAAGCGGCAGTCTAGGAAGCGCACAAACCATGAACCCAGCCCGCAGAGGGCTGAACTCAGTCCTCCCTGGATGCAGGGCCACTCTGGTCTCTGATCTGGTCACGACGAGGTCTGCAGGGTCTCTGGCTGCCAGGGGAGAGGTTTTATCCACCCGATCCGGAAGTGGGAGCAGCCAATTCTGCGCCGGAACAGGTTCGCAGCCCAACAGGGAGAACAACAATGGAAGTTGATCAGGCCTATGAAGTGCAAAATGGCGATCACCCTGTCGAACCAGCAGGTGGAACGGGTGGCCCCATCTGTACGATGCACCGGCTTCTTGTACACACCGGAGAACCAGTCAGAGCAGTTTCCGCATATAGAGCCTGTAGCTGGAGAGATCTGGTAGAAAGGAGATGGAGGCGCCATCAAAGTCGACCGTTTTCTTGTTCCAAGTCTGGCGCATAATTTCCTCTTTTAGAGTAAAGAAGTGAATGCGACATAACACGTCTCTGGAGGAGTCGTCTCTCGGGTTAGCTGGGCCGTATACCCTGTGTACGCTCTCTAACTCCAGCAGATGAGTCGGCATATTTAATATAGCAGTCACTGTAGACCGGAGATCAAGTCCAGAGGTGGCCTCGGGGATGCCCCTGAGGAGGACGTTGTTCCTGCTACTTTTGTTTTCGCCATCGTCGACTTAAAGGCAAAGGGTAGTCAGGGCCTGTATCTGGGTAGCTTGCGCCAGCTCCACCGCTTGCAAGCGGGAGTCAAAGGAGGCTCTGGCAGCCTCCAGGGACGTCACCCTATCATCTACCCCTTTACCTGCTGCCGAACAGCCGTCAGCTCCTGCTTTAAAGTGCCCTCCAAGCGCTTTACCATAATGTCCAGCTCAGCTCTGAGTGCTGAAAACATGCCTCTGAGTTCCTATCCTGAGACCGGGGAGTGAGCATCTGAAGCGGCTCAGAGGTGGGAGCGTGCCGGGGAATCCGGCCGCATTATCATAGGGGTGAGCAGCGGTGAGTCGTTTGGCCGTTCACCCGCAGAGGAGATGCCATCATCAGCCGCCTGGGATCGAGACTCCGCCGGGCTGCTGCGAGCCGGAGAGACACGTGTGGGCACCATCTTGGATCCTACAGCCCTCGGCTCGAAAGCGGTCTGAGTAAAGAATCGATGAAGGTCCAGGTTGGGTGAGTATTTCGGGGTCCCCTTACCTTTCTTCCTCCTTGACCTTGCCCAGAATAAAACACTTCCCACCTAAGACAGTTGCCCTTGAAAGATTTGTCACCATTGGGTGATTTACCCTCTCATCTTGCTCTGGGGATGACTCTAAAATTTTACATTTCCCCTCACTTTCTGGAAAAACATTTCTCCTTTAAAAAAAAAGAGAAAAAAAAAAGTTTACACATAGATTATTCGTTTCCGACCACTGTAAATGCCAGTTTTATACATAAAGGATGTATTTGCTCTTTCTTTCCACAGAAGTCCTCCAGACTGTGGATTATGTGTCTCCCACGGAGAGAGTTGTTTTTCAGACTTGTGAAAAAGAGAAAGGTCGAGTTGTTTTTCAGATGGTAAGGTTCTTTTTTATATCTACATGCTGCTTAAACTACTTTTTGCTTTCAGCTTTAAATAGGTAAGTCCTAGGGAGCTGTAATGATTTTTTTTCTTTTTTTTAAGTAGAACAGCCATACAAGCATAGATCTGTTTTTTTTTTTTGTTTTTGTTTTTTCTTTGAAGGGGAGGGGGTTGAAGGCATAGTAACCTATGTAGACAACAGAATTATAATATTTCCACAGTAATTAAAGATATATGGTTTTAGTATATTTGTTTTATGCTGCAAAAACATTGAGTTGTATGCACTACACTCATTTATCTTTACTTGTATTGTGGTTTTTGCACCCTTCAGGATCTGAAGTTGCATAGTGTTTTTGATATTTCATACATCACTTTGACAAAACATTGCAATGAAGTAGTGGCTGACTCGCTCAATCTCTTCTTGAAAATATGTTTGAAAAAAATGCACCACACGCCCTTATAGAAGGGGGATGCCCATAGCTTGAAGTCATATTGGCCTTTGGTGTATGTCGCCCTTTAGTGTTAGTCTATATCCCCTCCTGAAAATTCCTTTTTGGCTCTGTCATTGTTGCTGGGCCTGCTTTTCACTTGGAGGAAGTTTTTACTAAAGGTATGCAGGACTTTGTTGAAGTTTGCCCAGTAAATATCTGACTCCGACTGCAGAGGCTGCAAACATGTTACCTCACTTTGCCTGATCTGAACACCATCCAAAAGACAAGTCCACATCAGCACTCAAAATGTCTTGACACAGAACACAACATGAGTATTCTTCTTAAAGGGGGGCTGCTCTCTGGTCGGGGAGACTATCTGATCATCTGCAAATAAACACCTGTGCATTAAAGTATATTAAGTGTGTATAAACCGTAAAAAAACCTATTCACAAAGGCAGAGTGCAGGTATCATGAAAGATAAGAAGTCATAGCTTCATGTAACACTACACAGGAGACTGCTGTGGAGAGGAATAGGACCGGCAATAACATGCTAGCTTCTCTGTCTTCACAGCCTCACTGGCTTAATGGGTTTTCGGGGCCACACCCCCTTCATCAGAGCCTGCCCATCTTCACTTTTTCCATGCCTTAAAACTATCCGATCAGCCAATCATATGGGACGTCTATACAGACAATCACAGACCTCCTTACTCACACCAATCAAATTAATTTGTAGTTCAGCCAATTCACTGATGGTAAGCCTCCCTCCACTACATGAGACTCCTCCCCATATATGTAGGAGCCAATCACCTGAGCGCAAGTGTGAACTACTTCCAGCTCTGGCTACGATCGTATGTCAGTGTAGCCAGCACTCTCTGCGATATGTCAGAATAAACAGGGAGGGGCTAAACCCTGTGTCACGTACCTTAGGGGAGTCTGAGATGTCGAGGGTGGCCTCTCTCACTTCTCTGGTCTTGGGGCTCCTGAATGGGTACAGGAGCGCCGGGGCAAGGGGGGCAGGAGTGCCAGTAGTAGCTGAATCCGATGAGCAGGAGCAGCAGACAAGAATAGCAGGGTAGTCAGGACAGGCCGAGGTCATCAACGTGCTGGCAGCGTGGTACAGAGGATGAGGCAGGAGGATGGTCTGGAACAAGCCGAGGGTCAATCACTGGAGAGAAGCAGAAAGGTCAAAGCCAAGCCGGGTCAAGATAACGGGAACACTTCAGGAGCAGGATACAGGGAAGCTGGCGATCTGACAGCAAAGGAGGTTTGTTAGTCACAGCCTTATATAGCCCAGAGGGCGCCAAAAACTCAAACAACACGTCGGCGCACGCCCGACGCACACGTTTACGCAGAGACGCACCTGATACAACTCTATTAGCTGCACCATGCGCAACTGGCGTTGAAAGAATCCTGGCTTCGACTCTGGCTTCCTGACACCCTGTCAGAATCTTCGGCCACGGCTACACCTCAAAGATACAATTGCTACATGTGGCAGTGTGGAGAGGGACTAAGCACTGTCAAAATGTTCGGCTGCAGCTACAACACTTACACACGTCAGTAGTGTATTATAGATTTCAAAGACACTGCCGTTCAGCCAAGTTGTGATTGATGAGACGTGTGAGAGCAGAGATGGGAAAACAATTACACTGACAGTCCTATTAACAGTCATTGTTAAGTCACATCTAAAAGGTTAGATGACTATAAAAGTAATAAAAAATGATGCAATTAATGAAATATTTATGAAAGCATATTTGGAAGCACCCTTAAACATACTATTTAAAGGACTCTTAGAGGAAGTGCATCTTGGGGCTCTAATGCATATGCTGAACAAGCTGAATTTGCCCTTAAATTTAATGCTTAATAAAAAAAATATATATATGGATAAGAAGGAATAGAATAAAAGATACTTTTAAGGCACCACCATGACCACTTCAATTTATATACAGGTGAAACTCGAATAATTAGAATATCGTGCAAAAGTAATTGCAGTAAGTGCTGCAAAAGGGGCCCAAACCAAGTACATATGCATGCTTGCACTTTTCAGAGGTCCCATATTGTTCTATGTACAATCCTTGTTTTATTGATTGCATGTAATAATCTGCTTTTTTGAGGTTGTGGATTTGGGGTTTTCATGAGCTGTAAGCCATAATCATCACAATTATGACAAATCACGGCTTGAATTATCTTGCTTTGCATGTAATGAGTCTATCTCATATATTAGTTTCACCTTTTAAGTTGCATTAGTGAAATAAATGAACTTTGCACAATATTCTAATTATTCGCGTTTCACCTGTATATATAAAAAATATATTTGATTGTGTAAATTGTTTGTTAACAATATATAGCAAGGTTAAAATCATCAATATATAGTCTTTTTTTTACAAAATTGTGAAATTGGATGCCTCGTGAACCTGCACCTCCTTAACTGGTGTACAATAGATAGTTAACAAAGTAATTTGTATGCAATATCATTAGTATGTAACCATGATAATTTATAGATATTTTTCCATGGGGAGGTGCTCAACTCTTTCTCTACGCGTTTCACGGTACCACCTCTTCAGGAGCTTATGGGCATACAGTTGCGGTTCACAAATTTCTCTTGCATCATGGCTCAAACATAGAAAACAAAATTACATCATCACACTGGTGGGAGGAGCGATGCAACAAATCAACCAGGTGGGCGCCCGAATCCAGGATGTATGTTTTAAAGGAGCTTGTTCAAAGGCATATGAGTATAGATGTAGAAATCAATTGGGCCTCCTTTTAGTAGGAAAACCACCAGAATTGTTTGTAAAGTAGTTGCCTACCCTGAGATTTAGATATCTGCATCTTTCATTCACCATAAGTGTCCATCCAGTTTGTAGTATGAGCCATGATGATCTGGTCATACTGCAAACTTGATGGACACTTATGGTAGCACTTACCCCGTGCTGTTCTTTCTCCTCCTAGCTCTATAAACACGCCACAGCACCACAGATAAATAGAATTATAGCTTTGATTCATCTAAATCTTTTTTTTTCTTTTTTTTTTAAGTAAAAACCGTTACAAACATTAGCTCTAGCATGCCTGACATGTTGCCTTCATTGACATTATCAGGGGTGTCATGAGGATGTCAATAGATGAAGCATGTCTCTTTAAGGATCCTACTGATAAGGGACTGAAAGGTCTTTTTAGGGCCATGTTCTCTTTGGTAGGATCCATCTTGCAAGAGATTTTGGCTGTAGTTCTGCTTTGCCAGACCATAGCTGAATGGGTTTAATTCCCTAAATGTGATCTGACATGTGCTGACTCACAGATAATTGATCACATGTCTTTGAATTCTAGCTGTAATGGCTTGTTAGAAGCCTTTCACTTGCTGTCTCACATTGGAGGAAGAACCCCCCAAAATTCTACCAATATATAAACAGTAAAAGGGTAAGAAAAGAGCAGGTAGGCCCAATAAAAGATAAAAAAATGGGAGATTAATCACAAACGACAGGGAGAAGGCTGATGTGTTAAATTCATTTCCTCAGTATACACTCAGGAAAAAGAAAGGTATAATGGAGATAAGAATGCAAGTAGCTCAGTCCGTAAAATACCGCAGTAGTTGACAGTAGCCGGGGTTAAACAAAGACTGGAAAAACTTAATGCAAATAAAGCACTAGGACCAGATAACCTGCACCCCAAGGTACCTAAAGAACTCATCCAGGTTATAGAAAGACCATTATTCCTCATTTTCAAGGACTCCATAATGACTGGTAGGGTACCAAGTGACTGGTGGAAAGCTACAGTAGTACCTATTTTCAAAAAAGGATCAAGATACCAACCTGTCACAGGAGCCACGTACCTGAGGTGAAACCGAAGTAGTGGGGAGGCCTCCCTTGCACCTCGGGTCCTTGAAGTCTCTGGAGATGGAGACAGAGACTTGGTGGACACTGAGTGGCAGGGGTGCGGAGCACCATGCAAGCCTTAGTCCGAGCCGAGGTCAAGTCCACTCTGGCAACGAAGTAAACAAGGGTTAATCAGAAGAATGGTCGAGATCCAAGCCGGGGTCGGTTCCAATCTGGCAGTTGAGTACAAAAAGGGCAAAGAAGTAGAATGGTCAAGGTACAAATCTGAGGTCAATGGCAGGCAGCTATCATTAGTAGTCAAATAGGTTTCCAGGTCACAACAAGTTCAGACAGATCACACACTAGCACAGGAACAAGGGGGCACTGAAGATTATCCAGCAATTTGGTAGTGTCTGGGCTGGGCTTATATAGGGAAGTGATGATTGAAGTTTGAGGTCACTTCCTGTGCGCCTCCTGGGCATTTTCCTGACTTTTTCCATCAGGTCTTCTGCGCATGCACGGGTTGGCGCACTGACGCGTCTTTGGCACATGCACAGTTGGCACGGATTTCCTCTTGCGGCAACGCACTATTGGCGCATGCGTTGTAAGCCCTGGACTCTTACACAGCCTGTGATCTATAGACCAGTCAGTCTAACATCAGTTGTATGCAAACTGTTAGAGGGAATGATAAAGGACTATTTAGTGGGTTTTGTTCGTGACAATGGTATAATAAATGATAATCGGCACGGATTTAGG